TATGTGTCTCCTAAATTAATTACCATCAGATTTACCTTATGTGGTATTAGTTCTAGCCATGTTGGTGCTTTTCTTTTTTTTTTTAGTTCGCTGAATATTTATTATTGAAACTTATTAAAACACCAAACTAAAACACAAAGCCCAAACAACGGAAACTAAACCGACGTCTGAAAGAAAATTCTTCAAAAACAAAGCCATAAAAAACATGAATTCTTTGGAATCTAAGCCTATGCAAGGAAGACATAATAAACACTAGAATTACAAAGCAGAAAATTTAAAACCAAAATCGAAAGAGATCGAAACCTTAAACTAAGAACAAAGGCAAACTAACTTTAACCCAAAGAAATATAACAATGATGTCCACGGCCAACTCATCGATAGCATATGTCTCCTCCTATCACGATCAGGCCCGGCCCAAACGGATAGGGCAGAGGAACAATGGCCCAGAGGCCCATAAAAATTTTGAAAATATTTATTATATTTAAGGGCCTATTTAAAAAAAATAATTAAAATGTAGCTAGCCCATATTCTTAGCATTTTAGTGTAAAGTAGACCCTGTTTTTAAGGAAATTAATTTTAAAAGGGCCCAAACAATTATTTTTAGTATAGATATACCCAAATATATTAAAATTTTAGTATATATGAAGGGTCCAAATTTTTCTTTTGTCCTAAGGTTCTAAAAATTGTTGGGCCACAAGATTTCATAACCAGACCAGTGAAGATCAAAAAATGAAATATCTTTTATTATTATTATTACTAGGACTTAGACCCCCCCCCACGATGTCGCGGGAAAAAGATTTCGAAAACTTTTAAAGAAAAAAATATCAAACGAAATATCATAATGAATTGAGACAACAAGTTTGAAAATAATTTCTTTTTTATAGTAAATAAAGCTATATTTTACACAAAAAAATATGATAAAGAAACGTAAACCCTCAAAAACATTTTTTAACATTTGTATTATTGTAAAAAAATATTATGGTGAAAAGATGCGATCATAAATAAAAAATATTAAACAAAAAGTTATAATTACTAGATCAATTTTTCAATTTTCTAAACTATATAAAATGTATTCATCAAAATATTACAATAAAAGACACAATATTTTAAATTGTATTATGTTAAAAAAGAGACAATTTTCGAAATGTTTTAACAAATAACCAAAATAGATCATTATTTAGGAAAAAATAATAATGATATAGATAGCAAAGTATATTTATGCTAAATAGAAAAAATGTAACTTTCTATGAAAAATATCAAACAAAAAAGAAATAATAAATTTATACCACTTTTTATTTTTAAATATATATATATATATATATATATATATATATATATATATATATATATTCAGAGCTAAAAAGACATAAAAATTTAAATAGAAAAATTGTTTGTAAAAAACACAATTATTGGAACCAGGTGTTTGTGATGAAAAACACGAATAAAACATGGTGACAAGATAATACTCTAAATGAACAGATATAACTTTAGTTAATGTTTTGTTTAAAAAAAAAAGCTTTAGTTAATGCTCTCAAAAATGTATTACAATAGGCAATGTTGCAACGGTTCATCAAATATACCTAAAATTATAATAATTCATCAAATAAACTAAGTTGCAATGGTTCATCAAATATATCAAATATTGTAACGGTTCATCTAATAAACCAAAAGTTACAACGGTTCATCAGATAAGCCAAAATGTTCATTGGTTCATCAAATAAACCAAATATTACTATGTTCTATTAAACGGTAGCAACATATTCATTTAAATAGTAATTAAAATTAAAAATTTGATGAAGAACTATAACCGAAAGACGCGACCGTAGATATCATATATAGTAAAAGTTGCAATCGTTTGTCAAATATACCAAATATTCAACGATTCGTCAAATAAACTAAAGATTACAACGGTTCATAAAACAAAACCAAAATTTGAAATATATAGTTTGTCAATTTAACCAAATGTTGCAACGGTTCAATTATACGGTTACAATTATATTTAAATATATTTTAGTAACTAAAATTGAAATAATAGTTTACTAAAAGTTATACTGAAAGACGTGACTGTAGATAATTAAATGTAATAAAGGTTTATAAAATAAACCAAGAGTTGCAATTGTTTGTGAAATAAACTAAATGTTGCAATGGTTCAACTAAACGGTTGCAATCTTTATGAAAAGTTATGATAAAATAAACGCAACTGTAGAAGACATTTATTCGGATTGCAAATTTCTAAAAAAATTCAACTGTAAAATATATATTTTTAGTTTAAAAAAATTAAATATTTTAACGATTTTAAAAATAAATCAAAAATTACAATTGTTTGTTAAATAAAGTAAATGTTGCAATGGTTCAACTAAACAATCACAATTGTTTATGAGGTATTACAATAAAAAGATGCAATCGTAGAAAGTATTTGTTCAGATTGCAACTTTTTGAAAAAAAAACAACCGTTAAATATATATTCTAGTTAAATAACTAAAATTTAAATCTATATATAATAGTAATCTCAATAAATGCCCTTGGCACCTCTGAACGGTTGCGTTGTTTTATCACAACTTTTCGTTTAAATATTTAAAGTTATTTTTTTCAGTTATGTCTTTTTATCGCATCTATTCGTTGAAATATTTACGGTTAGTTTTTTACGGTTTTGTTTTTTATCGCATCTCTTTGTTAACATATTTATGGTTTTTGTTTACAATTAATGCTAACTGAAGACATTTATTCAGATCGCAACTTTCTAAAAAAATTCAACCGTAAAGTATATATTTTTAGTTTTAAAAAAGTAAATGTTTTAACGATTTATAAAATAAATTAAAATTATAATTGTTCGTTAAATAAAGTAAATGTTGCAATGGTTCAACTAAACAATCACAATTTTTTATGAGGCGTTACAATAAAAATATGCAAACGTAGAAAATATTTATTTAGATTGCAACTTTTTGAAAAAAACATCCATAAAATATATATTTTAGTTAAAACACAAAATTTAAATCTATATAATATGGGACGTAACTTTAAATGAATAGATGCAACTATGAAGACACAACCGTAATTTGAAAAGATACGACTGTAATTGAACAAATATACCTGTAAAAAACCGTAAATATGTTAATTAGATGCAACTATGAAGACATAAGCCTAAATTGAAAAGATACGACTATAATTGAACAAATATAATTGTAAAAAAAACCGTAAATATGTTAACATAGAGATGCGATAAAAAACACAACCGTAAATATTTCAACGAAAAGATGCGATAAAAAGACATAACTGAAAAAAATAACCGTAAATATTTAAACAAAAGGTTGCGATAAAACAACGCAACCGTTCAGAGGTGCAAAAAACATTTATTGAGATTGCTATTATATATAGATTGGAAGTAATATTGATATTCAAAGTTTCGGAAAGGTTACAAAACACAAGAAAAAGACGAGAGTGAAATTATAGAGAAACACAATGATCTTCCATAACCTACAACTAGAAGAGGAAAGAAATTTTTCGATTACATTACATAAACCAAACACATCTTGTCTCGAGACTATCGAACCTCTCGCAACTCACCATAAGGATTTCTCGCATTTCAAAATATGAAAACGGGCTTCAACACAAATGGCAAAAACAAGTGTGTGGAACTTGGTCTTCTCCGCATAAGATGCATCTTCTCTATGAGTGCTTATGTCAAGGTTCTCCCGGATGAACCGTAAGATAATCGAGAACCACTTAGACCTTTCACCACCACAACGATTAAGACCTAAAGCAACGCATTGCTTAATACTAACCGAGATAAATCCCAGACATAACCAAAGCTCAACTCCAAACTAACGAGACTAAATAAGCCAGGGAAGAGAAGCTTAAGCCCAAAAGAGGGAGACGTCAGCCCAAACGAGAGAAACAATTAAAACTAAGCATCTGATGTTACTAGATCTCACACGGATACAATCTGATCAGAGCAAATAGGCTAAACAAGGAGGAAGACAGTAAAGACGAGTGAGATACCGAGAAAACGAAGAATCGATCTAATGTTGCATAGGATCGCCAAGGAGAGAATAGAACGAGCCGTCGCAAGAAGAAACAAGAGCCCCCCATGTCGCCTTGACTCATCGAAGCCAACCACCTAAAAGCACAGAGCCTTACCGTGGCACCACTCCATGACCCGCGAACAAAGATGGCGACCCGAGCACACTAGCAACCAACTGATCCGACAGATCTAAAAGCCATGGCCAAATCTCACTAGATCAGATTCTCGAACTCACCACTCACCATCGCAAAAACCTTCACGCTTCTTCACCAAAGGAGCCAAAGACAGAAAATGAAAAAACTAAGCGGAATTATAAAGGAGATGACCAACGCCGGCGCTCTATGAGCCGCCATGCGCCGGTCATAAATTCAACGGCAACTTTGTGTTAAGACAAGATGCGAGAGAAAATAAAATTAAGGCGAACCAAAAAATAAAATATCTAATTTGTGTTTTTTTTATGTATCTCGTAAATTAATTACGGTCAGATTTACCATATATATGCCATAGTAATTCTAGCTTAATATCTTCTCCGCCAGTAGTTCCTACCATTCTTTCTTCAAGATATGAGTGGCAACACCAGCCTTTTTAGCATTCTTCTAATTATATAGATTTGATTCTATAAAAATACAAAATCTCTTGTAATTTTCAAATTTATTATATTTTTTACCCAAAACAACCCAAAAATAAATGCAAATGCAAGCGTGGCACTGAAAATAAAAAATATCTTACCACATTTAAAACAAATAACCAGATTCAGTGAATTAACAGAAACGGATGGTTAAGTGCTTAAAGAACACAACATAACACTTTTGCTTAAGCCAATATTTGTCTTTAACCCACTTTCCCAGAAACTTCAAAAACAGTTGGAGGAAGAAGAAGAAGAAGAAGATGAAACGACGAAGAACCCTTTTAAAAAGTCTTAATCTTTAAATCCAAGATCTGCCCTTTTTTCAGATTCTCTATCTCAAGCTTACCCGATCTTGTCATGTATTGAAAGCCGGAGATAGAGATGTTGTGCTTCAAAGGTTCGGTTAAGCGGAAGAAGCAATCCGGTTCTGTTCCGGTTTATCTAAATGTCTACGATCTAACTCCTATGAATGCTTATGGTTATTGGCTTGGACTTGGTGTTTTTCATTCTGGTGTTGAAGGTGAATTAATGATTTCTCTCTTTTTGATTCTCAATTTTTGTTTTCTGGGTTTGGTTTATCTTGTCTGAATCTACTAAAGAAAGTGACTTTTTGGTTTTTTGAAGCTAGATTTGTTCAGAATTTTGGTGGGTTAATAGAGAATTGACTTTGGTCCTTATGAGAATTGACCAAAATCTCAAATTTTGATTTTGATGATGATAAGAATTTGATTTTATTGTTCATGAATTGTGATACTGAATTTTGGGGTTTTAATGATCTGTTGTTATCATTTTCTGAAACAAAATCTGTTTGTATGTTTAGAATGCCTTTTGTGTAACCATAGTTTGTGATGGACTCATTGTGTTGGTACTTATGTAATGTTTTGTAGTTCATGGAGTTGAATATGCATTTGGAGCACATGAATCATCAAGCACAGGTATATTTGAAGTGGAGCCAAAGAAGTGTCCCGGTTTTACGTTTAGGAAATCGATTCTTGTGGGGAAAACCGACTTGGTTGCGAAAGAAGTTCGAGTCTTTATGGAGAAATTAGCTGAAGAGTATCAAGGAAACAAGTACCATCTCATCACAAGAAACTGCAACCATTTTTGCAATGAAGTTTGTCTTAAACTTACTCAGAAATCAATCCCTAGATGGGTGAACCGACTTGCTCGCTTAGGTAAACCAATCAAAATGAATATTGTTATGTGTTTGCTTTGCCATAAGAAAGATCATCAAGTAATGCAAATGAGTGTTTTTGTATAGGGGTTCTCTGCAACTGTGTGTTACCACCGCGCTTGAACGAGGCAAAAGTGAGGCGTGTAGGAAAAGGAGAGCTTACCGAGAGTGAGAAGAAGAAACTAAGAAACCGATCAAGATCAGGTCCTTTACTGTCTTCTTCTTCGTCTTCATCGACACCTGATAATCATCGTTCACACATTCGAGCAAAATCAACTGGTAACAATCCTTCTTCTTCTTCGACATCGGGTTCTAAGAAAAATCAAAGACCTAGAACTCAAGGCCAGAAGTCGCCAAGCGTAAGCATCAAGACTTGATTCTTATCATCATTATTTGAACATTTAATTATTGTTTATGAAAAAGACAAAAAGTAAAAAGACAAGACAGAGGAACATGCCAAGTAAAGTATCAATCATACATGGGCATGCTCGTGCTTTGTTCTAAGGTTATTTAAAACCTTATTTGAGTGTGTAGATCATTTTTCTTGGTACAATTGCTTATAGGAGAGAGAGAGAGATATGTTATGAGTATGTACAAAAAGAATATGATTCATATATTTTTCTATGTTTTATCTCACATTTCAATTTCTTTATTTCAAAGTTTTAAACACATTGACCCTCTTTGTGGTCATTTATTTTTTGTATCCCAATGGATCACTAAAAGATAATGAAATATTAAAGTTGCCTGATTATATAATGCCTTGGATGTATATTTTATGTAGCAGTTGCTTCATGATGGATATGTTGATGATGTGGTGGTTTTGGTTGTCCATTCTTTGGTTTTCAGATTTTAATGAAGTAAAAGAAACGATTATTAGTTTTCCACAAATGGAAGATTACTTCTTGGGAACAATGACTGAAGATTGAGGAATAAGCTTTTTTTTTCTGTCGGTGAGATCTCATGTAACATACAATTTTGATCAGAGAAATTGTGACATACATGGAACATATATATTTCATGGACAAGTCTGAAGTTGTAGAAATTCCATTTTGCATTTCTAGAACAGAGAATATCCCAAGTGAGAAGGATAAAATCCTGAATCTAAAATAGGATTTAGAGAAGCGAACAATGATATGATCAAATCCCACGAGAAGAGTTAGTACTTAAAAGGAAAATCCCTTCTAGAGGAAGTATCCATTGGATTCTTGCAAGCATTTCCGACTCTTAAATCTTGAAACTGAGTGGGACTCACGTGAAGTTCTTGACGTGCTCTCTTTTGCAGCTTTTGAGTCTCCATTCTCTTTTCTTAAAAGAATGTTCTGGCCTCGTGGAGCTACCTTCACTAGAAGCCTTCACAAAACTTGAGCTACTAGATCTCCGTGGCACCCATTATCAAGGAATTCCCAAGAGGGTTGCAAGAGTTAAAGAACTTCAGAAACCTTGACCTTTCTCAAACACCTTGCCTTGAAAGCATTCCAGCTAGTTTGGTTTCGCGCTTGTTAAGTTTGGAGACACTAGACATGACATCAAGTCATTACCATTGGAACATACAGGGAGAAGAAAAAGATGGGGAAGCAAAAATTGAAGAGATCAAATGTCTCAAGCATTTACTGGTTCTTTCTATCAGGCTCCATTCCTCCCCATTTCTTCTAACAAACAACAACATTTGGATCAAAAGATTGAAAAATTTCCAAATTCTTGTTGGCTCCGGTTACATTTTGCCTACAAGACACGACAAGCAGAGGCTAACAACAAGTCATCTCAATGTCACTAGGGTCCATTGGGTGGATATATGTTTGCATTTAAACTTTCTGTCACTGAACCATTGTCAAGGCATCGAGGTAATGACAAAGAGATTGGTCATTTACAACATCAGTTTCGAGAGTTTAAGATCTTTGACGATTGAAAACACTAGCATCAAACTCAATTCAAAACGAACCTCCCAACTAGACCTTCTACCAAATCTAGAAGAACTTCATCTACGCCGTGTTGACTTAGAAACCATCATGGAACTAAAAATACATATTGGGTTCAGATTGGACTCCCTGAAGCTACTTGAGATCACTATGTGCCGCAAGCTACGAACACTATTCGAGGAGAAAAATTTTAAGAGCATCCCAAAACTAGAAGAGCTAGAGATTAGCTATTGTGACTCCTTTCAAAGTATGCATGAAGCTTTGTTTTACCGTGACCCTTTCCTACCAAATTTACGTATCGTGAAACTAAGATATAGTCCAAAGCTTGTGAGTATTTGCAACGTGGGAGAATCTTGGGGATGTCTGGAACAAGTGGAGGTCGTACAATGCGAGCAGCTGGATCGTTTACCTATAAGCTCCTCAACTAGTGGAAGAATTAAGGAAATAAAAGGAGAATTGACTTGGTGGGAGCGTTTGGAATGGGAAGATCCATTTGCTTTAAACACCCTTCAGCCATTTTTCAAGCCGGTAAAGGAATATCATCTAGCTACTTTTGTTATGATAAGTTGATAACGTATGCACCAAGTCAAATTCTAAGTAAGTGTTACTACACAAGTGTGAATGCATAAATTGTGAGTCACGCTCTTATTGCACTCTTTGTTTTTTTCCTCTGTCTTTTTGTTTTTCCTCTGTATAAATTTCATGCATCTACTTAATTATCTTATAATAATCTCATTTGTTGTTTAAGCACAATCCAAAGGTCTTTTTCTAAACTGATATAATCTATAATACAGCATTGTTTGGTCTTGCTCTACTGGTTTCTTTGCACTTGCGACTTTCTGGTCTGTTTTGAACAGAACAAAACCAAAAGTCTGATTCTTACACACTTTCACATATCCTCAAATCCAATTGATTGCTTTATATACAAAAAAAAATTGATAAAAATAAGTTGTTCTAGTGACTTGTTACTTCCTCCAAGCATAGATCATCAAAGAGAACCAACTTTTAGACCCGAAGCTCCTCTCGTCTTCCTCCCGAAAACTAGACCACTCCATCACAGAAGACATCCTAGAAGAAGACCAATGACCATATGAATTCGCCCAAAACGACGGCGTTCGAGTGTTCTCCTTCCGCAAAACAACATCGTCACGCACACGCTTGTTCATCATCAACACATCGTTTCCTTCAACATCTTGGTTCTCAAACCGAAGTAAGAACACGGCGGGAACTTTATCCGGTTTAACCTTATCCTTGTCCCCAAACAGCCAGTTGTATACATCCCACGATATCTGTATTGTCACACCATCGATCACAATCTTTGTGTTTCCTCTAAATTTCCATTGAAGCTGATTAATCTTTAAAACACTCTTGTCGTCTACGCTAAACCGGAGATTAGCATCGTCGTTAACAACCTTAATGTCTATGCTTATCTCTCTTAGTTTTCCTTGAATCTTGATTTTCGTAGAGTAAACTCTGTTTCCAAACAGATTCTCTTTCTTGGACACCAAGATTTGTCTTCTAGGCCTCTGTTTCAAGTTTCCTTCGCCGACGAGAAGACCCACTTCGCCGGATACAAAGACAGCCACGTAAAACCCGGATTCCGGGTCAGGTCCCGATCCAAATCTTGCGTGAGTCAGGTCCCATATGACCCGAATATCCGGCTTTCGAGACAACTTCTTGGACCCTTGTTTTCTCCAAAAGGTCAAGGGCTTGATTTTATGCCGGAAAGCGAAAGGAATAGAGTGATGGTAACAATCCGGAGAGTGAAGATAACAATTTGCGGAGTTGCATGAGTAGAAATGAAGGTGAAGAGAGCGGCGGAGGAAGGATTGAGACCATGAAAGAAAGAAAACGCCAACGTTAGTGTGGTAATGACAAGTTGTGGTAGGGTCACCGGAGGCGGAGATATAAGATGGATTTGACGGTGATGGAAGAGACGACGGTAGATCATCGTTGATGGCGGTGGCGGAAGGGTGGAAACAGGCGGATAAAGGAGAGGAACCACCGCGACCAAGAGCAGAGATTTTCATTTTTAGGTATCGTCAATTATGACTGGTTGATCTAATATACACATGCATACAAAAACATACTATAATTGTATGGATATGTCATATATGACTATTTAAATATTTATCTATACTTTTGTTTTTTGACAACGAGTATTTATCTATACTTAGAGTTGGCTTATGTGTCTGAAAATGAGTTGTCATGTCGTGAAATTCAAAAGAGTGGGTCAATGTCGAGAGATTGAAAGCAACTTTGTGGATAAATTTTATAGACCGAAACAGACGTTCATTGATATTTTGTGCCGGTTTTCACATTATTGCTATATGTAGATTATGTTCTAGTTCAATTCTTTGGAAGTCACTTGACTTTTTTGTCTCTTTCCTTAACTCTTTTCCATTTATATTATTAGTTTTTTTACGTTTGTAGTCACAGTGAAAGCTACCAAATTCAAAAGGACTTTTTTCGCCGACTCATCTTTCTCTCTCTAAAAAAAATCCTCTCCCTTCTCTCTTAAAAAAGAAGCTGCCGCTTGGTTTTTTCCAGTTCCAGTGGCTTCCACAGCACTGGATCTGGAGAAACTCTTTTTCTAGTCTTGTTTTATTTCTTTTCTTTAGTACTTCCATGGCTTTCTTCCAACGGAATCAGTTCTAGTTTTCCAGATCTAGGTTTTTAAAGCTTAAATCTTTTCTTCTTTGTGTTCTTGCTTCCGATCTGGCCGTATCCTTCCTTGGCAGAGGCAGTTTTCAACCGGTTCTTCACTGCCTCAGATGAAGAAAATTCACCATCGTAGATCTAGATCTTCTTCCTTTCTTCAAGAGACGATCCTTGAGTCTCTAGATTTTGGATGTGTCTCACCGCCTCCGTGGCTCCTCTCTGGAGCTTTATAAAGAGGGTCGCACGACACTTTCAATCAGTTCCAACTTGTGGTAAAGGAGATTCTTGTATTTTATCCCGTTTGTGTGTTTTTCTTAATCTCAGATTTGTTTAAATTTTCTAAAGTTTAGGTTTTGTAAGTCTTTTTTTGGGTTTCTAGATTCTGATCCGGGAAGTATTTATGGTTGTAGTTGGTTTGTTCGGGTTTTTTCCCCTTTGTTTACCTTGTTTGGTCTTTGTCTCTGGGAGTGTTCTTGTACTCGCCAGCTTATGTCTCTGGAAGAGTTTATCTCTTGCCGGCTTTGTGTACCAAAACCGCATCTCACCCTTGTATAATATAATGGAATAATTCAGACGAAAAAAAAAAAAAAAAAGCTACCAAATTTTTTCAAAATGGTAAAGACAAATAGAATAAAGCTTGGTTTTTATGTTCCTTACTTTACATGTGTTGTGTTTGATAGTATAAAAATACTAAATTAGTATGGATAATTAGATCAAAAGTTTAAGATTTTGTGATGAGTAAGATCTTTTTTTTTTTTTTTTTTTTTTTTTTTTTTTTTTTGATGAGTAAGATCTTTGTTTCTTGTTGGTTTAAGAGTCGGTTTGGGTCCATGATATAACAGATAGTTGTGGGAAGTAAATGGTGCAACAAATTACTAACATAATTTTGATCATATTAAGGAGAAGTCATGTTTAGTTAAGTTTGTGGATTGATATGAAGTTATGAAGCCATATAATATGTAATTTTTTTTCTTTTTTTTCGTCATGTTTGATTCGTTATTTTCTCCTTCATTTAATATGTATGAAATTTGTTTATTAATGGTTCCTTTTTGGGTTCCAGCTAACAAAAAGAAAAGGTTTGAAAATGTCTACAAATTAAATATGGAAACGTACAAACAATTCATTGCGAGATTGGTGCATTACTCGCTGCTTTTTGTTTCATACCAGACAATCCAAAACATGTGATTGATTTCTCAACTTTCATTCTCCAATCATTCAGAGAATACCTACAAAAAATTAATATTCTCCAAAAATTTTACTGGCCATTGTATTTACAAAAGAGCGAAAATATTTCAAAAGTATTTTTACTGACTAAAACAATAATTCTTTCAATAGTAAACACAAATATTTTCATCCAAGACATTTTGCCCACCCAAAAGGTAGGAGATGCAATAAATTTAGCCAAAATTTGAATGTAACTAATCATTTAGTATATTATACTCCCTCTGTATCTGATTTTTGAGGTTTTCCACCAAGATTAAGAAAATAATAAATGATGTACATTTATTAATTACTTTTGTATTATATCTTTTAAAAAGTTAATTTCAAGCTACTTTTTATTTCACTTACTCCAATCAATTGATCTTTTTTTTTTGTCATCCGAAATTAATTAGAGCTCAAAAAAATCATTCTTGAGGAATGTTGTTAACATATGTGATATGAAGCGGTTCTGAACTCCAATCAATTGATCTTGAAAATAAAAATGCATTAAATATAACTACAGAAAATCAATCTTTTTGATACAAGAATAAAACCTCAAAAATCATTCTTCTTTTTGATACGGAGGGAGTATTTCAGTAAAAAGAATCTGGATTGCATAATTACGCGGATATTTCAGTTACCCATTTAGGTAACTAAAAATTGTTAAAGTTATTTTAAATTACTCAAATTCACTTTTAAGATATTTAAAGCTAGTATTCGAACTTAATGAGAGCTTGAGTAGTATTTTGCAAGTATTTAAGTTACTTGTACAATATATGATATCCATCCCTTTTTCAAAAATACTTTTAAAACTACATTTTAACCCGCGGTACACCGTAGGACGATTTATTTACTAAAAATAGTGATTTTGAAATTTAATGATTATATATTAAATATAAAAATTTGCAAATAGTATCATTTAATAAGACATTTTAACTAAAAACTGAATTAACCCGTACACAAACTTTTAAATTTGGATGCTTGTTAAGTTAAGGTTCATGCTCATTCGGATTTGGATTCATTTTGATCTTATTTATAATATGACTCTGAATTATTTTATAAACATTTTAGCCGATGTGGGACGTTGAACACAAACTTTTTCATTAATTGGCTAATATATGTCCGTTCTTTAAATTTCGAAACACAATATATGGAGAAAAAATTGAGATTTGTTTTAACTTTATGTATTGTATGATAATTCAAAACAGTTAAAAAAATAATCAAACAAAGATGAAAGGAGAATCATAAATTTAAATCAGAACCAAATCTTCTAAATATCTTTATTTTTAAATATAGAAACGTAATTAGTGGACACGATCTAATTTTGGTAATATTTGTATCTGACTTTTAGGCAAATACCGATGTAAGATTCGGGTTAAATATAACTCGATCCAACCAAATTTTTATGAAGTAAATTTCTTATCGGATCATGTACCATTTGTATCCGAAAATAATTTAACTCATACACTAAAAATGTACTTTAAAAATACTATTATAGATAATAATATTTATATATGTAAATTACTCGTCACTGTATTTTGGAAAAACACGTAGCCCGGTTTGATTGTTCACTCAATTTTTTTGGATTAATTAGAGTTTTGGAGTTAAACTTTAATCTTTTACTAATTTTTTGTTTCTAGAGGTTCGAAAATGAACCATACCAAATCGATGTCCGGTCCAATTTTCAAAACATTTTACAGTGCTGGACCAGATATTATCCATCATTATCAGGCCAGATATTAACCTTAAGGCCTGAAAATAAGTTACAAAGCGATGATTAAACAAAAATGGGCCACAATGGCCCAATCGATAAAATCTAACCCTAAAATCGTGTCCCCATATAAAAACTCACCGCCATCACTTTCTACAAGTTTCTTCTCCAGATTTAGGGTTTTCTCTTCGTTTCGGCTCGGTCCAAGAACCAAGATCGCAAGGCTTCAAGATGGTAAATCCTCTCTCCTCTGCTTCAATCTTAATCCCCATTATCCTTTATTCTCAAAATAGTATGTAAATGTTACGAAAGTTCGATACTTTGATGATTTACACTGAATTGTATCTAAATGTTAAGAAAGTTTGAGACTTTGAATCATTTTGATGGTCTCTTTACTGTATGAAACAGCCGTCGCACAAGTCGTTCATGATTAAGAAGAAACTAGCGAAGAAAATGAGGCAAAACAGGCCTATTCCTCACTGGATTCGTCTTCGTACCGACAACACCATCAGGTTCGTTCATAGATAGCTTCTCTATATTTGATCGATTAAGTTTAGAATTAGTGAATCTTAAGTGGGTTTGTTTGGTTTTTGCAGGTACAATGCTAAGCGTAGGCATTGGCGCAGAACCAAGCTTGGATTCTAAGAGGTTACATTTGCTTATTGTGAAAGCTTTGTTCTTTCTTAAAAGACTTTGTTTTTTTTTTGTTTGGTTTTAGTGTTTCATCAGTTTTGATTGTTGACATTTGTGTAAGACAATCTTTAATCATTTATGTTTTCAAATTTCCTATCGAAGAGTACTTATTTTAGTAACACTGTGGTTTTCACTAGTTTTAAGGTTTGGAATTGACTTTTGTTCATCTTGTTTTATGGGTTCATTGCTCTCAATCAGTAGAACCAAGTGTGTTATATCATCCGAACCAAGTACTTGAGGTTTTGAGGTTTATAGAAGTGTTGATGAGGTAATGAATGAACTGCTAATTAGATAATGGGTTAGTATCTTTGAGGTTTGTGATGATAATTGAGTATGTTGCTATCTATAATAGGTTCATAGTAGAATCAGATGGTATGAAATGCTTTTAGATGTTTGCTAGGTTCATCTTTCTCTTGTTCGGTTTATATATCTTATATCAATGAAACCGTAAGGGTTTGGCACTACAATGTGTATTGATTTAGGTAGATTTGTGCAATTTGGATTGAATCATCTCACCTTTATTACTCGAAACTTTTCGAATTACCAGGGTACTTTACCTTGATTACTTTTACTTTTTGAATCACCGAGGTACTTGAATCACCTTGTTTTGGTAACTAAAAATCTTTAAGCTATCTAAAATTATTTTTGTGGTTTTGTTATTCTTTTATAATTATCCAATTGCTTTAATAAATTTCTTGTAATTTTATAAAATTATGTTCTTTCCGTATCATTTTAATTGATGTTTAAGGTTTCTACACAAATTAAAAAACACATAACTTTCATTTTATTTATTTCGTTTACATCTAAATATCATTAAACAAAATGAACTCAACCAATTGTAAAATCTAATTGTCAAAAACATAAAATACATTTAACTTTTGCATACACATGGGAGTATATAACTACACAAATTCGAGGGTAATGTGTTAAATGTATACTAAATTGGCAAATGGATTATGTTTATAATTGTTAAAGTAGTACGTTGTTGAAAAAAACATACAAAACGCAATGGTTAACACAAAAAGCAATGAGGTATGTTTTGGTCGGCTATGTGTTTTTTGCTTCCATTTCTTTTATGTTCCCACCGTCGCTATTGACTGTTGGCTCTTGGCATTGCGATTCTGATGCTTACTCTTAAAGACTAATCAAAGAGGATTAAAAAGAAGGATGACGTTTTCTAGTTTCTTCTAATGTTTGGTTGCTTACATAATAATAGTTGAAAAAAATGATCAACCCACTCAAAATACATAACAATTAACAACGTTGAATAAACGCTTCTTGAAATTTATACACAAAAGTTGAACACAAGACATTACAACTCATGAATGTTATAACAAGGAACAAGTCAATCTTCTAAAAGTTATCATTATAAGTTGACAAAAATACCAATTTAGCATCATTCAAACAAACCCACTTTCTATTTCTCTATATATATATTACACACATAGATGTTATACATAGCTAGTTCCATCAAACGTTTTCTTCTTTCATTTTCATTCTCAAAATATCCATTTTGTTATCTAGCCTTCGAGTTATAGTTCAACATTTAACCATTAATCCTTATTCAACTAAAGAATGTGGAGATTCATTTTGGTGATGTATCTTCTAGCTTTGGTCGGAAGGGGAACCTCGGGAAGACTGCCGATATGGGAGAAGGATTTAGGGCGATTGCACGGTTTACATAACCAGCTTCAGCGAGGTCCAGTTCCTCCATCGGAACCCTCTCTATGCCACAATAGACTAAACCATCTTTCTCATCCAGAGGTTTACTCTTCCCAAACTTATGTTCTTTGCCCATGATCATGCTTATTTCGTCGTTGGCAATGGTGAAATCCCATCTTGTTAGCTCAAACATAATTCATGGTTTTTTTTTTTGGTCAGAAACATAATTCCTAATTGTATCTGTGACATTTGGAATTATGTAATTAATTTGTCTAATAATGTCAACATTTTAAACACAATAAGAGTTCTTAAAAGATCCTTTAAACTTTATCACTACGAAGAAAGAACTTCGATGGAAACGCAATTAATGTATGTGATCAAATATTAATTTGGTTTCGAGTAACATCAATTAGAGCATGGAGATGAAAACACTTGAAAGAAAGTATGATAAGCCAACAAATTGATAGGAATAAACGAAAATGAAAAATTCACATCACAGCCAAACTAAATTAGTCACTATTTTATAAAGTTGAGATCCTCTACATGGTCTACAAAGACTTTAACGTTTCTACGATTCGCAAACGCGTTATGGTTAGCTTCAAAACCTTGGATTTCAACTCTTTGGTGTGTGTTCCTTATGGGATTGAAGTAGAAAACATATAACGGTTTAGATGGATCGTGTATCAACCAAACAACGTCACCTGTAGAAGTCACGGAAACACTGCCGTCAAGATATGTATCTTCCTTGAGAGTGCAGACATGTTGCCACTGTTCCGGTTTCTTGACATCCTTTATAAGAAACATTATGTTTTCACCAAAGGCACCACACTCATAAAAAATCGCGCCTAAAGTACCCATATAGTTTATCAATTTAGTTCTAGGCCGTACACTAAAGAATTCTTCGTCAATAAACTTAAATTTTTCAGAACTAACATCAAAGCAAACTATCACACGATACCATACACCAACTCGGAGACCAAAGTAATACAAAACTCCATTGATGCATACCCCGTCTTCCCAAAACGAAATATAATGGTTTAAGGGACAATGGATCTTCCTCCACGAAACGTTTTCAGTCCCTAGTGTCAAAACATGAGGCGAGTGGTTCTCATCATGTAACCTCACGGACAATACCTTGAATTGTTTGTCAATTGGATCAAACCCTAGAAAGCCTTTCTCCATATCCCCATTAGGTAAACTCATGTGATGTCCCGTGCTAGGGTTACAAATCACATGAACTGGCACTACTTTATCGTTGTTATTTTTTGAGATCTGCATGTGACGAAAATAGATCAAACCAGAGTTAAGTCCAAAAAACGCTGACCACATGTATCCAGGGAACTTGATATGAAAATCAGCCACTACTACAAGAGATGACTTGTCATATGGACTATGAGGCTGAGGAGACGTCAAAAAGCACCAGCCATCGGCTCGTTTGATGGCGAAGAAGAGACGAGGCCGAGCGGAGGACCTGGTGAGGAACAACTTGGTGAAATATGGACGGTCAAATATAGACGTCCATAGCTTAGACACGCAACGACACCTAGCGATTGACTTTGCAGGTAATCTCGAGAGTATTTCGGTAATGAGATCAATCGGGATGGAATCTGAGGTTTGTCCTCTAATCATTGAGTTTGAAGATGGTGTATTGGTTTCATTAATAACACTAGAGGCAATCTCTAAAGTCTCTATATAAAAAACAATTATCCCTAAAGTAAATACGGATGAATAAAGTTAATTTAGGTAAAGTAGTAACAAAATTACCCTAATGTAGATAAGGGTTAATAAAGTGAAAACAAATAAGGATTTAGGAAATGTATAAACTCGAATTAATAAAGTTAATCTCGTAATTATCGTGCATGATTTTTTTTTTTTTTAGGTAATAGCTTAATCGGAAGAATTTCTGATCCTAAATAACACTAGATTTTATATGATTTTTATGAAATATTATTTGAATAACAAGAGATTTTAGTTGTTTTTGATGATTTTAATCAGAGAAATACACTATAAGTTTTTGTTATAAAAAGTACCATCATTATTGTTTCTTTCAAAAATACCATTACAAACTTAAGATTCCAAAAATACCACAAATACTAAAAATGTTTTCAGTGATTAATGCTAAGATATTGCTCTAAGATCCACTATTGGAGGTGGTCTAAGTGTTTATAATATTTTGGGTTTGAGTTTAGTATTTAGGGTTTATTTTTTTGGTCGTAGGGTTTAATTTTGATGGTTTAAAGTTTAGTTTTAGTTTTGTAGTATTTTCTATAAAAAAATATTTCTTAGTGGTTTTATTTTATATGATTGATGGTATTTTTGGATTAAAAACTCATAATAGTGGTATTTTTAAAATTTTCCCTTCTGAGTAAGAGTAGATTTGGATTGGAAAGACATTTAAATATCATCAATTGAATAACATAGTATTTTTAAACAACACTCAAAACTTAAAAAAAATCCTCATTTCAATATATACAGTTCCTAAGTGAAAATTTATGTAATGACACAAAATCAAAAAAAGTTCAAAATACTATATTATTCGAAAATATGGAAAACGATATTCATTAGATATATATGGTTATGATACAATTTTATTGGATACTATCTTAAACTATTTACAGGCTATATAATGATGATTCACTTATGAGGGGAGCAATATGTCTTTGATACCATATTAAGTTTCAAATTTCAACCTTTTTCGTAGGGGTAAAATGTGACTAGGGAATATATATGAACAATCTACAACTAAAGAAAATATAATTATATTCCTACCAAAAAAAAAGAAAATATAATTATATTTGACAATAAAAAGAAACAAATATAATTATAGAACTCAACAACCCTGAAAAACTTATATTCTCACATTCTTACCCCCAAACTTTGAGATGAGTGGATCATAACCCTATACAAATATAAAAAAAGGCAAAAGATAAAATCATTTAATGGATTTGGATTTTTTTTGGCGTGTTATGTCAATCATCGTGTTAACCGGAGAGTCCCTCCTAGCTCTACTGGAACCAGTGGAACAAGCGAGTGAAGAACATCGGTTATCAACGGCCGGTAACTCGGTTCTGGTTGCACGCACAACACAGCCATGGCTGCAACCTGCAAAAAGAATTAACAGTCTTGATTCAACAATGTGCCAAGTAAAATCTCACCGGTCGGTTTGATCCAAACCATCAAATCAAGCCTAATGAAGCAACATTCTAGTTTAGTCACACACAAGATGTACTTAAAACCGGTTCAATCTTCAAACCAAACCTGGTATAAGTGCTTGAGATCCATTGTATCTTTTATAACCGCATCCACAATGTTTGGAAGCTTGGATCTATCGGTAAGTTGTGGCATTGCCTGCACCATCAACACATTTATATATCACTAACCGATTCATTTTGTAGAACGTTTTCAAACCGTATAAAAACATACCCAAGTCACAAGAGATTGGCATTGAGCTGGTGTCAATTTCTCAACCGGTCGTCTACCCAACAAGAGTTCAAGCAGAACCACTCCAAATGCATAAACATCACTCTTATCCGTCAGTTTCCCTGCACATACCCAAAAGTAAACAGTTGTTTTTCATCGCAAAACGATTATTTAAGCTGAAATGTAATCATATAATGAATCCATCAAAGAGTAAGACTAGTATTACCGATATCGAAATAATATATAATCTCCCATGGTCACTACTATGTGCTACACAATCTTAGATATGAGAAGTCTAAGGGAAAAGAGCGAACATAATTACCATCTAGGAGATATTCCGGGGCAACATAACCAAGTGTCCCAGATAGTTTAATGTTGTTCTTTCCATGTTCATCAAGCGATACAGCAAGACCGAAATCTGAAATCTGCATTATTGTAATCAAACAGTAACCAAACAATGATGCGATTATTCGGTACTCAAAAGCAAATATAAAAAAATTCACATTTTACATTGAAACAGGAACCATTATCTAATCAACAACATTTTTTTTTTAAAAGACTTAGCATTAACCTTGGCATTGAAGGAAGAATCAAGAAGAATATTTGAAGATTTCAAATCCCTGTGGATAACTGGTGGACGACAATGCTCATGGAGATACTCTAGTCCTCTGCAGTCAAACAGAGCAAAACCGGTTTACAGAATCAAAACCGAGAATAACCGATGAGAAAACCGGTCTAGGAGTTGAAAAAAAGTGTCGGCTATTTATTTATATACCTAGCTGTATCAAGAGCAATCTTCATACGCATGTGCCATGTTAGAGCTGATCCACGAGAAGGCCCTAACACATTAATTATAAAGATAAAACAATCAATTATAATTATTAAACTCATATCCTAACTATCATTTTTATATTCTATACAATTTATAACTCATTGGGTATTTGGGTTAAACAAGATCATATAAGAACATGTTTTTAGTTTTACCATGTAACTGTTCATCTAAGGATCCTTTCTCCATAAGCTCATAAACGATAAAACTCGAGTTGATTTCGCTTGCAGAGCCCAACAATGAGATAACGTTCGGGTGATGGATCTTGCTCAACAAGTCAACTTCGTTCTGCGATCTCCAAGAAGAATCAGAGACTGAATATAGAGAGAGCCAAGAATCAGAAGCTGAAGTTATTATTTTACTTACCTGAAATTCTCGTTTGGCTTCTTGGCTAACGTTTTCGATCTTCTTGATCGCTGCTTTCACATTGTTGTCCAAAGAAGCCTTGTAAACGCATCCGAAACCGCCTTGTCCGATTACACTACTGTCCTTAAAACCGCCAGTTGCTTTCTCAAGCGTCTTGATATCGAAAAACTGCACGTAACCCTTGTTGATAGATGTTCTTCTCTGAGTCTTAATCGAGCCGAGTCGTCTCATTAACAAGGAAAATGAATTCCCACTCTCAGAATCTTCATTTAAAACATTGCACAAAGATCAAACACATACTTGAAGTCGATAAGAATCAATGAACAACAAAGAAACTTGAAACTAACAGAATCAAGAACTTCTATTGAAAACACAAGATGATGAAACTTGAAGCAGATTTTCTCATTACTGTGAAAGTACCTGAATTGTTGATGGATTTTGGAGATTGGTTCTTGCGATAAACCCAAAAGCCTAAACAGAACAAGATTATAAGGCCAAGAGAAGAGAAGCTGATTATGAGACCAATCAGAAGTTTCTTATGAGCATCAAATCTGTTTTCTTCACCACTTCCCATTTGGATTCCTGACACAGAAAAAATTCTTCAATGATTCTGTCAAATTTTTAAAGTATGGTTCTTGAAATTGTGAATCAAACCCATGTTTCGAAATTCAAGAAAGAATTCAGATAAGAAAATAATTATATTTTCAATTTATCTTAAAAAAAAAAAAAGACAAGAAGTGAGTAGCTCATAAATAGCATTTAATTTATCTAATTTTAAAAACAAATTTTTCTTTATATTTTTTGAAAATCGAGAACACATAGATCAAATCAAGAAACCAAGAAATTAAAAGAAAAAAGAAATGAAGTCAACGAAGAATAATACCAGGAGAGAATGTAGCCATGGAAGAGTAAACCGGAGCTAAAGAAGGATTTGAAGCAGAAGAAGAAGAAGCAGAAACAGTGATGAATTTAGTAATCAAGATCTTGAAAAGAACAAGAACTTGAAAATGAAGAAGCTCTCTCATTTTTATTTTTGCTAAGAATAGAAAAGTTTTTGATGAAATTCAATCTAAAGACTTTTTAGGGGTTTTGAGATTCTTGAGAAAGCGAAGAGTGAACGAACTATCACTTTCTCTCTCGCTGTCTTCTTGAAATCACTTTTATGGCAAATAAAGGAGGGAAAGAGAAAGGGAGCTTTTAAACAAAAGTTGAATTTTTTTATTTCTCTACCATTAATTTAACAAAAAAGAAAGAAAGTGATGAACTAACGACCGAGGAAAGATTTGGGATAGACCAAACACTTAGTATACTATTGAAAAATGGGAACTCATTGCTAATTCATTTTTGAGAAATAATAAATTGTAGTGCCATGGATCTAATAATAACTTACAAAATGACCATCTATTTGATTTTACATTTCGACGGAAATAACCTTCTACCATCTTTATCATTTTTTTTTATCTTTCATGAATACAGTACATTATGTGTATATTTTTAATCCGTTTATGGACCCATACGAAGATGATTCTGGTGATTATGGTAAAACAGTTGTCTAGTGAGGATGAAATATATATATATTATAATTTTTTTTATATGAATGCAAAAATTTTATCCACCAAAAAATCCATTGTTACATAAAATCCATGGACAGTTTTTTCATAGGTTTGACCTTTGAACTGAGCATCGACTTGCCTAGGCAAAGATCTACACCTCAAAAGTTATAAAAAGTCATGCTTACTAAGAAATATTAATACTTAATTCTCTTCCAGTAAAACAAAAATAAAATATATTTTTATGCGGACCCTTTTTCTTTTGTTTATCTTGTGATTTTAGGTGACTACTTTTTCTGATTTTCTTCAGAGTGGAATATGCTTATAATTCATAAAAGTACAAACTATGTAAAACAAAATGTTTCGCCTCTCACTATATGTATCCGAGTTAGTACTTTTGCTTCTGATTTCCAAAACACTAAAACCTTTTCTCATGTTTTGATATTTTTGAATAGGCATTGAAGGAGGAGGTGATGTCTCTTCCGTTATTGGCTATTGACGACATATTACTTAGTTTCTCACTTTCATAAGAACAAAAAGAGATCCTTGAATCTCATCTCGCTCGGTACATCCACTTCATTCATAAGCCATCCCGCAAACTCGAAGTTCTTTTTGGTACATTACAATTTCTTAAAACAATTTATTTTAGAAGTAAATGTGTCGATAAAAAAAAAAAGGATTACGAGTTAAATGCAAGGTCAATGCCAATAGAGAAGCTCATAGAAAGACAAATATGAACTACGTTGACATTAGAAAGACTGTTTTCATGGTTGAGCATATATATGTCTACTTCATTAGTGACGCTTTTAGAACCTTATCTTTGATTCTTTTTGGTGGAATAATATTTTGTCATTTTTTGATATTGTGTTTAGATGATATAAGTCCATTATCCGATGTTTGTAGAAAATTTATATGAGAGAAGACTATATAGTATTTTGGATTGCACAAGAAAGAGTAAATGAAGATAAAGATGATATAGAAAGCATCTTCATCTATACTACCTTTTTTTTTTTCAAATGAAAGACCATTTTTTAATTCTAGACAGAATTATGGCCATAGTTATATACTTTGTTTTTGTAACAAACCCTCTAACGTCTTCTTATTTAGCTTCCTCTTTTTGTGGCCTTATGTAATCTTCCTGGCCCAATATCTCTTTCTTCTCTTTTGTAATGAACAAGCTCATTAATCAAAACTCGGTAAACAACACACGACCCCAACCAAAAACCGGTTGATCCGAAATCATCGAGACTTACAAGACGTGTGAATGTGAGAATTATATCCCTTTGAAGTAGTTCATAGCCAGCTAAGTTCATGGCTACAAGTGGAGCAGTCCAGAAGAACCATGGAACAGCTCTTTTGTAAAAACCAAGAGGACCCTCATGTGTGAGAATGAAATAAGCAGCCATCCACATGGATAAATAATCCAGGCCTCATGAGACCTTCATCATTCTCGCTTTAGTCACATAGAGTGACGTTGTTAGAACAACCGTGAAACCACCGGACAAGGCTACAACTGCGATAGCCTCCCGTGACTCTCTCCCTAATCGTCTCTCCACAAGCTGTGAGGCAGAGCATATGGAGACGAAACCTTGCAAATCAACCTTGAGCACCAATCTCTAGAACTTTGACAGTTTATACTGAATCATGGGGAGACAAGATAGGAGTTGGTGGGAAAGAGAGCATTCTTACAAGTAACTGTTGCAGCAAGATACAATAATTAAAGATGATTATGTCAACACTAAAATATAATCTGAAAAACCATAAATCTTGCAAATCTCTTGACAATAATAACTTTTATTAATCACACACAAAGCAGTAAAAAGAGGATCCCAATTCCATCAAACCATGAATATACACAAAATACAACATAACATCCCACACATCCCAATTCAATTAATGTTTTGAAGGATCAAGAACTTGACCCATGAACAAAATCACTCCACTCTTGTCTTCTCTGACAGTGAACAGAAATGGACGGTCAGCTACGAAATCCGGATTCCGCCTCAAAGAAGTGCACTTTATGACGCCAACAGAGACGGCCGCAGCTTCGGTTCCCTCTTCATCCACTTCAATACAAGCTTTATGAAGAATGCTTGAGACGTATAGATCTCCACCGTTGGAAGGTGAATCAACCATCTCAGTTAAACCACCTCCATTATTAAATGGTGAAGTCAGCCCCATATCTTTCAGAACTTCTGAAGCATTAAACTCGAAAGAGAATTTAAACTTTGGGATCCGGAAAGCACCAACTTCTATAGGGTGGAGCGGAATATGGTTATCGAAAAATCTTGGTTGGGAGTCTATCATCTCAACCAGAGCAGCTAATCCATCTTTATTGTTAGGAAGATAAACGTACATAGAGAATTGACGTTGATCCTGTATATAAGGGAGGCGTAAAACTTTGAAACCATCATAGCTTCTTAGGTATTGGTCCTCGTAATTGGTCATGAAGGGGACTTTCACCGAGGTACCGTCAAGAAGATGAAAATCGTAATCTTTTGTCAAGTTTGAATCAAATTTACTGCTCCATGCTCCTTTGAAGTAGACTGCATTTGCAAGAACGAGTGTGCTGCTACGGATAGTATCGATAGAATCACGTGAAAGAATCTGCTTGATGAGTCCATTAGTTTGAACTTCAGCCCATGTATTCACCTCATCAATCACTTCAGAAGGCTTCACGATAAGCGATCATAAATTTTAACAAATCATTCCAAAAATTTGATGTAATATAAATTCAAGAAATTCAAAATTTGTCCATCAAGAAAAAAACAAGTTACCTTGGTTGCGAAGTCAACTTGACTACAGGTAGCCTTGTAAGAATTCTCCAAAAGCGCTTTAAAGGAAGGCTTCAAGGAGAAAAACTTGTCGATCCAAACACCATTGGCTATAGACAAGCGCAAATCACTTCTCTCGGTGCTGCCGTCGATGATCTGAGCCAAGATTACGTTGAGGTGATCCGTTGACGGTAACATGAGGAATGAAAGGATTTGTTCTTTGGTCACACAACTTGAACCGGCCGCGATGAGGCTGAGCAAAACGTTGATTGACGTCGGTGAGAAGACAAGGTTGGAGCCATTAGCAACGGTACAGATGACATGCTTGGTTAGTCTTACCACGACGTCGTTTTGGTTCTCAATTGATTTTCCCAACTCCATGTTTTACGAGACCAAAAGAAAGAAGTGGGGATGAATGATTCTAAATAGGTAGAGATGATAAATGTGTTTTTAAATAAACTAATTAGAAATTTGTACAGTCATCATCTCACGTTCTCAACAAACGATTGCAAATCAAATGATTTTAAGTTCTGCAAATCAGATAGTATTAAAAGTAATATAGTAATGCTTGTCACGTAGCTAGGTGTCGAAATAAAATTGGTATCGTGTGAACCAATACAAAATGAATGAGTCAACAAAACCATAAAGACGATTACTTTTTGGTAACTTGTAACATTATGAATGTATCATTCAGTTTGACCGTCATTTTGGCTATTGGTTTTCTATATAACCCTAACATCTTATAACTAAAGTTATTATATATTCGCTTTACTTGTAACAAAAGCTACAACTATATGGCAATACAGACTAATAAAGACCTTTTCTCGGGTGGATTTGCAAAAGTCTTAAAAGAAAAATGGCATACCGATCTACGACTCATGGCAGGAGATAGTGATCATTTTGAAGCTATCTCTGTCCACAAACTTGTTCTTGTATCTCTTCTCTCTTATTTTTATCATCTTCAATTCATACAAAAAAAAAAAAGCACTAAGATATAATAATTTTTAGTTTTTGAGATGCTTTTATCGTTGTTTATAGGCGGCAGGGCCGGCCCAAAGATTCATGATGCCTAAAGCCCAACAAAATTTGATGCCCATTTACAACAAATAAAAATTAAAAAAATACTAAAATCTCAGTTGCCAAGGCTCGAACTAGGCCTGGGCATTCGGATTTCGGATCGGATTCGGATAATTCGGATATGAGAGTTTATTATCCGCTCGGATTTTATGACTTTTCGGTTCGGTTGGAGAATTTATTATCCGTTCGGATTTTATGAGTCATCGTTTCGGTTTTGGTTCGGATAGGTATCGGATTCGGATCGGTTTTCGGGAAAAAAAAAAAAACAAAAAATTGTTCAATTTATATAAAAATTGGTTCAACCTTACTAAAATTTGGTTATATTTTGCAAAAATATGTATAATTTTAACAAATATAACTAAAAATTTTCTGAAATCTAGGTTATTTAGGATATTTTTGTTATTTGCTATAAAATTACAACTAAATATAACTAATATTTTTAGATATATAATTTTATTTTCGGTTTTCGGATATCTTTTCGGTTTTCGGTTCGGATCGGGTTCGGTTCGGGTAATTCGGATAGGAGAATTCATGATCCGTTCGGATTTTGTGACTATTCGGTTCGGGTTCGATTCTGGATTTTTCGGATCGGTTTTCGGATTTCGGGTTTTATGCCCAGGCCTAGCTCGAACCCAAAACCGTCTACCTTTAAACATACCATATACCACTAGACT